TTTTTTCAAAATATATATTTTTTAACTTTTTACCCCTTTTTCGTGATATCCAATTGGTAGTTACAGTATTGTCCCATCGCTGCAACTCCCGTACGGGCTCGGGAGAGGCGAAGGTCGAAAGCCATTCGTCCTCCAAAACACGACCCTGCCAAGCCGCACTGCTTCTTGACACACTGCTTGCTTAACCCGGAAACCAGCCGCACCAATGTGTCGGAGGAAACACCGTGTCAGCGTGCACTGTACCCGGCCCGCCACAGGATTCGCTAGAGCGCGATGGGACAAGGACATCCCGGTCGGCCAAACCCTCCCCTAACCCGGACAACGCTGGGCCAATTGTGCACCGCCTCATGGGTCTCCCGGTTGCGGCCGGCTACGATACAGTCCAGGGTCAAACCCAGGTCTGTAGTGACACCTCAAGCACTGCGATGCAGTGCCTTAGACCGCTGCGCCACTCGGGAGGCCGGGACAGATGCATTTTAACGAGAATATTAAAGTCAATATTTTTTCTTTTTCACAACATGATACTCTGCTTTGCTCATACATTCTACTACATGGACATAATAAGCACTAATGACCCAAAAACCTACCCAGACTCCTTATCGCAACTTCGGTCTACGCATCTCATTAGTTTTAGGATCTTTAATTTCCTGTCTCTGTGTCTGACATCTTTATGGGAACCGTCTTAATGAACACTTCGCTAATCAGGACGGAGAACACTGGTTGTGTCTGAAATAGCACCCTATTCCCTACATAGTACACTACTTTTGATAAGAGCTCAATTGGAATAGGTTGCCATTTCAGACACAGCCCCTGTATCAAGAACAAACATCTTTAATTAAAACAGCTCTTCTCTTTGATCTATCTCCTCTCTCTCTCTCTCTCTCTCTCTCTCTCTCTCTCTCTCTCTCTCTCTCTCTCTCTCTCTCTCTCTCTCTCTCTCTCTCTCTCTCTCTCTCTCTCTCTCTCTCTCTCTCTCTCTCTCTCTCTCTGTATTAGACTTATTCCCCTGGATGGGAGGATAGATGGAAGAAGAGAAGAAGAGACAGATTGAGGAGAAGAGTGAGAGAAGGATGAGGGCCACTGATTGCATCCATTATTCCCATTATTGTCCTGCTAGAACATTACTTTAAATTAAGGTTACGTCCCAAATAGCAACCTGTTTAGTGCACTACCTTTGACCGGAGCCCATATGGCTCTGTTCAAAAGCAAGGCACTTTGTAGGGACTAGGGTAACATTTGGGATGCACCCTTAAACCATTTTCCTGTTGTGACAGAGTGGGCTCAGTTACTAGTTGGAATGGGTATCTTTTTAAAAGCTGCAGATAAGGTCATAATCCAAAAATGCATGCAGTCATTTTTAATGACTTTCAGTCCTAATTAACGCTATGTATAAAAGGACTGCTGTGTTGAGGACGTGCCTGTCATCCCTATGGTCTATCAGGACTGAGGCTTGGCCTGGGAAGATCCTGGTGAATAGATGGTGAAAAGACTTTCAATAAATAGACTTTGGGTTGAGAATAAACTAATCCCCTCAATGAGAGCCAATGTCAAACTGTGGAACTCGGAACACAGAACAAAGAACAAGGAAAGCTTTGAGAGATCAACTTGAACTTAACTTTCTCACAGTGAGAGTTTGACTTTGTCACTCATGACTCATGTGGACTTAACAGCTACTTAGTTGTTAATTATTTACCTCAAACCTCAGTGTTGACCGTAGGCCTATAGTTCATATATACATATAATATGAATCTACTTCTTAATTCATGAAACCCTTCTTCTACTTTTCTATCATATAACTGTTCAACAGACAACACACATTGACTGAGGAGACCAGCAGCAAGCAACAAATCTCGCATTGGTTTGCTCTTAAAGGGATACTCGGCAATGATGCCCTTGATGTACTTCCCCAGAGTCAGATGACCTTGTGGATACCATGTCTATGTCTCTATGTCCAGTATGAAGGAAGTTAGAGGTAGTTTCACAAGCCATTTCTAACTAGTGTTAGCGCAGTGACTGGCCTCATTGCCAAAATCCTGAGGTATCCCTTTAAACAAATGGTTATGTCCACTATGTCTGACCTCCCAAGATGCCTGGTTCCAATACAAACACAGGCAGAGCTTGTGTCACTTATTTGTTGTCTTTTAGCCCCACCCAGTGAGTGGTCAAATATATATTGGTCAAATATCAGTCTTTTTACTTGGAGAGCACACAAATACATGCATCTACTACCAAGCAGGGTTGGGATCAATTCCATTTAAAGTCCAATCAATTCAGGAGGTACGCTGAAATTCCAATTCTCTTCAATGTTTTTCAATTAGGGACATTTGGAATTGGTTTACTTTCTAAATTAATTGGAATTGAAATAGAATTGACCCCAACCCTGCTGCCAAGGGAAATTTACTCCAAACTCTGCACTTTATAACCCTACCATGCATCAGATGAATGTGCATACTGTATCTTATAGTGGCAAATAACATTAACCTTGGTGGATGACCTCTACTTTCCGATTGGCAAAATAGGGTGTAATGGAACTGCTGCAGGTATTAATGACATCACATCAGCTAAAAATATATGTTTTTTATTATGCGACTGCACACTGCGACCTATGCTCTCGTGGAGTTTATCGACAATGTCTCAACCCATAGGAGACCTAATGAAGCCCTGAGGTTCTAAACATTGTCCATAAACTATAGCGAAGCATAAATTACAGTGTGTTTTTTATTTATTTTAAAACTTTGATTGAACATATTCTATGATCTCCAACACCTGCTTTAAAACCGTAATATTTTCCAATAATTACATAAGATAAGGCGATGATCCTGGAAGTAGTACAGGTGGGTCAGCTAACTTCACGTACAGGTACGGTATGTGAGGTGAGTCTAAGGCCTAGACCTTGGACAGTGTGATAACGGTGAGACAAAACACAGGTGGCTACCTGTTGCCTGGCATTGTACAAACACCTACATCAAAGTCGGTCCAGACCAGACAGGGAGGTTTTCCAGAAGTCCCATGTGGAGGGACTCCTAGCTGGAAGATTCCATCTTTGCTAATTCTCTGCTGATTCCAGGAATCATCCAACCGGGATTTCTGGAAAACTATGGCATTTTGGAAAAGTGAACAGAATTTTGCAACCCTAGATAGGTCAGGTGGGGTGTCCCGATTCCTTCAGAGTCCAGAGGGTATAAAACAGAGACAGGAATATTCCATCAGGACAGACTGACACTAACAGACTGAAAACATGCTGAGGTTCATCCCGTTGAGCGCTCTCGCAGCCCTGGGTGAGAACTGATCATCTCTATGCAAACTCTCTCTCGTTGAAACTCTCTCTCTCTCGTTTTGTCAGACTCAAAGTATTTATTCACTCTCTGATTGAGACTAATAGAATGTGTGATTTTCTGTGAGACACCATGTCCCCAGTCTTTAAAGTAACTGTCCAGTGAAAATCACACTTTTAAAAGTTCATATTCTGTTAACTTATACACAAATAATGTTGTTGACTAGTCCTATACTTGTATTGGTGGCCAAAGCATGAATTAGAGAAAAAGCACTTCAAAAACCAGACCGTTACAAAAATGCTAGCTATTTCCTCATAGAACATGATGTCCAGTTGGCTCATTGGCTGAGCTGGCCAATCAGCGATCAGCTTTTCAACGTACTTAATTGACGTTTGTTTTTTGGAAGGAAACTATTTCACTTATATTGTAATTAACCTCTATGGCAGGACTGCCCAACCCTATTCCTGGAGAGCTACTGTCCTGTTGGTTTTTGCTCCAACCCTAATCTAGCACACCTGATTCTAATAATTAGCAGGTTGATAAGATGAATCAGGTTAGTAACACCTGGGGTTGGAGCGAAAACCTACAGGAGGGTAGCTCTCCAGGAACACGGTTGGGCTGTCCTGCTCTACGGGACGGTTGTTGCTCAATATGCGATATGTGACTAGAATGGTGTTGTAAACAACAGCCAACTTTCCAGGACATAGACATGTCTTAAATGGGCAGAAAGCTTAAATTCTTGTTAATCTAACTGCAGTGTCCAATTTACAGTAGCTGTTACAGCTAAAAAAAAATGCCATGTTATTGTTTGAGGATAGTGCACAACAACAAAACACTTTTATTACGGCAACTGGTTTGGTACATTCACCTCTGAAGGTAAATAATCTTGCTCTGATTTGTCATCCTGAGGGTCCCAGTGATAAAATGTATTGTAGTTTTGTTTGAAAAATCAATTTTTTATATTCAAATGTAGGAACTGGGTTCTACAGTTTGACCTCTGACTCCACACCCACCCTACCTGGCCATCTAGATGTGTGAAGGTTAGTGTCTTTTCTGTAGGGAAGCTAATGATCCATCATTTATGACATTCATGGGAGTGTGCAAACTTAAATTTTGTATTACCATAGCATTTTTGTATGTTCTCTATAGTTGTGCACTTGAAAACCAATTCGGCACATTTGGGAAAACTCCTTTTATTTTGTAATGATGTAATTCTTACTTAAGTAAGCATTTCACTGTAATGTCTGCACCTGTTGTATTCGGCGCATGTGACCAATAAAATCTGATTTGATTTGATTTGATTCTTCACTGGAACAGTCTGAAACGTTGCACACACACTGCTGCCATCTGGTGGACAACACCTAAATTACATATATAATCCTACATCAATGTCTGCCCTTTCTCTTGCATTTCAAAGATCATGCAAAAAAATAAAAATAAAAATAACACGTTGTTTTGTTTGTATTATGTTTTACCAGATCTGAACATTTCACATTTCCACAAACTTCTAAGTGTTTCCTTTCAAATTATATCAAAAATATGCATATCCTTGCTTCAGGTCCTGAGCTACAGGCAGATGGATTTGGGTATGTCATTTTAGGCGAAAATTGAAAAAAAGGGTCCGATCCTTAAGAGGAAAGGTTATATTTCATAGAAATCTGGAAACACTGGACAGTTACTGTTTTCCTGTCTCTCTTTAAGTGTGTCTTTCCTCTATCCCCAGTGCTGGCTGAGAATCTGGTGCCCAGATACCCGGAAGATGGACCTGAGGAGAGAGTTGTGGGTGGCGAGGTTGCCCAGCCCAACTCCTGGCCCTGGCAGGTAAAACATTATCCTTCTCCTAGTGTATCATAGCCTAGTGTCTCTTGTGACAGCCTAGCTGATTTGAATCTGGGTGTCAACCAGTGGAGACTGCAGAGGAGAGGACGGCTCATAATAATGGCTGGAACGGAGCAAATGGAATGGCATCAAACACCTGGAAACCATGTTTGATGTATTTGATACTATTCCGCTCCAGCCATTACCACAAGCCTGTCCTCCCCAATTAAGGTGCCACCAACCTTCTGTGGTGACAACATTAGCCTGCTCCCAGATCTGTCTGTGCTTCAGCCAACTCCTCTGTGCCCGTGTGAGAGAGGAGTTGGCTAGAGGACTTACAGATCTGGGATCAGGCAAGGATTCAGCTGCAGCTGTTTGATTCATACTATGAAACTCATTTTTCACCTTTTGGTAAATCATTTTTGTTATAATCCTCTCCTCCTTCCGTCTATTGAACCTCTCTTCCTCTCTCTCTTCCCCACCTCAGATCTCTCTCCAGTACAAGTCTGGCAGCTCCTACTACCACACCTGTGGTGGTACTCTGATCAAGAGGGGATGGGTCATGACTGCTGCTCACTGTGTGGACAGGTACGACAAAGGGAGACATAACATAGCGAAGATCTGAGTTCGTTTTTTTAAAGTAATGTCTTTGTTGTTGGAATATCGCAAACGGATGTGGCAGTTTCACCGCAACGGATTCCAACTCGCTATAAGGTCACTATAACATGTATGTAGTATAAGTTCCTAACTGACTTCCTAACTGACCAAGGTGTTGTGCATGTGCGTCTACAGTCAGAGGACTTGGCGTGTGGTTCTGGGAGACCAGACAACCTGAACAGCAACAAGGGTAAGAACATGAGTGTCAGCCAGGTCCACATCCACACTGGGTGGAACTCCAACAACATCGCTGGAGGATACAGAACTTTGTTTATGATCAATTGGGGATTTTCTGCATGTTTTTTTTTGTGTCATTTGTAAAAATCAAGATTCAAATTGAAACATGAGACATTCATTGATAACAATTTGAGTATAATAAGGATCAATACCTTGTGAACCTGTGCTATAACTAATTTTGTACATATTCTAACGAGACCATGTTGCAGCTTTATAAGATCTTTAAAAAAAAAAGTGATGCTGTATGTTTATAAAACAGTGATTGAAGGCGCTATATTTTGGAAATCCTCACAAGAATATGTTAGAGTTAAAGTGCATAAGTACAGAATAGAAAGGTAAAAGTGCAGATGTCTCCTGAGAAAGATTTATAACCTGAAGTGAAAATGATGCCTCGGGACGTATCCTTCTGTTCCTCAGGTAATGACATTGTGCTCCTCTATTCCTTAGATATGATATCGCCTTGCTCACATACAGATGCCGTATCTTAATTTGATCTTCCTGTTGTTGCAGAAATGTTCCTGCACGGCGGGAAATGCAACCTTGTAGTGTATTCAAGGTTTAAAAAGGCTTCTAAAGTTAGTAATTTCCACTTAAAAATGTCAGACTTGATTTGCCCTAACAAAAAAATGTATCAACCCCTATAAAAAAATGTCCATTAATTATAATCCACGTAACAATTCACATTTCCTGTTGCTGCAGGATTATTTTCCTGCTGTGTTAAACTGGCTCAAATTAAGATCCAACATCTGTACAGTCCCAGAGACTACCCATAACTAACCATAACCCTAAATATGACACACGGACTCATTTGGGTAATTTAAGCATTTAAGTGACGTGTAACTAATATGTGAACCAAGATTACATACAACTAAAATGGTTAAATGTCCTTACTTTGACATATATTCTAATGAAACCTTATTGAATTATTATATCATGTTCCTATTTTAATGGTCCCCTGTTCCTCCCTATCAGCTAAAGTGACAAATAACTACAATGGATAAATGTCACTCTTTTTGACGAACAACGTGTCCCTGTCCTCCCTATAGCCGGGGGTTCTCTGTCCAACAGCCTGAAGCAGGCTTGGCTGCCCAGCGTTGACCACCAGACCTGCTCCAGCTCTGGCTGGTGGGGATCTTCTGTCAAGTCCACCATGGTCTGTGCCGGTGGTGGAGCCAACTCTGGTTGCCAGGTAAGACTAGTGGGGGGGGGGGGGGGGTGGAGGGAGATCGATCTGTTCAGAATTCGAGTTTGAGACCATGCTTCTGTCGTTCCAACACCTTAGCAATAACATCAAGAGATCCAAATCTTTTGTTGGGGTCATACTGGTGTGGAACTATGTTTGTAGCATTGCCTTAGGTCAGGTAGCGACAACGCTGTCTTCACTGATAGATCATGACAACACGTTAGAATGACGCCATCTGTTGGAAGACAATGATATTTGTAGATGAATTTGAGATATATTTATTTATCATTGGAATTTTGTAAAATATTTTTTAAAAGAAAAATGAACCATTGATGTCTCGTAAAGTGAGTCAGATAACTACAGTACAATGCCCTGATACAGATCTCTCCTCATCATTCTAGGGAGACTCTGGCGGCTCCCTGAACTGCCAGGTCAACGGTCAGTACTACGTCCACGGAGTGACCAGCTTCGTGTCCTCTTCTGGATTCAACGTCAACCGCAGGCCCACTGTCTTCACCCACGTGTCAGCCTACATCAGCTGGATGAACGGGGTAAGTACCTTAGGGCAGGAAAGGAAAAACTCCTGGCGCTATAAGTAGAACTGCTGAATATCACATTTCGCACACAGTTGATCTACGGCACCGCAGACACATAACTGTCAGTTTAGGTGACATGTGACTACGGTTAAATGCCACTATTTTGACATATTCTAATGAGACCATGTTGCACATGGATACAATCTTTGAAATAACAGTGTCTCTACACTAAATGTATGTTATTTTAGTTGACATACATGTATCCATATGTGAGTAAGCATCATTGTTTTGTACATTAACTTTTGTAAAATCTGTATCTCAAATGTGTTCTGAGTCTTCTCGGATCTAATGTCTCCTTTTCGTCCGTCTACAAGGAGGAAAAGGAGGACGGTCTTCGAGCGGACACTGTTTTCTAACGCACTGTTCTGGATTCATCACCAACTCTGCTCAACTGCATCAGCATTCTGCTCTGAAAGTTCAATAAACTGAAACTTTGAAGTAAACCTTTTCTTCTGTCTACTTAAATCCATCACATCATCCTCATCATCGTCACAAAGAATAGTTGTAAGTGCCGCATGAGTGAAAGAGGGAGGTGGGGGTGAGGGTGAGGGTGGTGTAACGCCATCACATAGTCTTTGAGATCTCTGGAAAGTAGAGCCAAATAAACAACACTGCAATATGATCCAGACTGACAGCATATTAAAGAACGCTAAATTCTAGAGTAATTGCTTGTTCCAGTATTCACCTCCCTTGCTACATATTAGACTTTCTAACAGCACTCAATGGTGGTGACCATACAGAAGTGTTCTAAAGACCCCACCCAATGGGGTTCTAGAAACTGGTGATGACCATACAGAAGTGTTCTAAAGACCCCACCCAATGGGGTTCTATAAACTGGTGGTGACCATACAGAAGTGTTCTAAAGACCCCACCCAATGGGGTTCTATAAACTGGTGGTGACCATACAGAAGTGTTCTAAAGACCCCACCCAATGGGGTTCTATAAACTGGTGATGACCATACAGAAGTGTTCTAAAGACCCCACCCAATGGGGTTCTATAAACTGGTGATGACCATACAGAAGTGTTCTAAAGACCCCACCCAATGGGGTTCTAGAAACTGGTGATGACCATACAGAAGTGTTCTAAAGACCCCACCCAATGGGGTTCTAGAAACTGGTGATGACCATACAGAAGTGTTCTAAAGACCCCACCCAATGGGGTTCTATAAACTGGTGATGACCATACAGAAGTGTTCTAAAGACCCCACCCAATGGGGTTCTATAAACTGGTGATGACCATACAGAAGTGTTCTAAAGACCCACCCAATGGGGTTCTATAAACTGGTGATGACCATACAGAAGTGTTCTAAAGACCCCACCCAATGGGGTTCTATAAACTGGTGATGACCATACAGAAGTGTTCTAAAGACCCCACCCAATGGGGTTCTAGAAACTGGTGATGACCATACAGAAGTGTCCTGTAGATCCTGTAAGAGTCCTTCAGACAGACATTCCCATGTTTGGCCCAAGGCTGTCACCTTCCGTCAGTTCCCTCACACAATATTAATACTTTGGCCTTCCTCCCTATGTGCCTCTCAAGGTTTGGTAACTAGGTTTAGTAACTATTGGATATTGGTACACTAATAGGGGTAACTTTCCCAAAATTCCCAGGTTTTCTAGAAATTCTGGTTGGATGATTCCGGATGTCATGCTTATTCCCACCTGATTGAGGAAATCTTGCAACCGATAGTTCTGGAAAACCTGGGAATTTTGGGAAAGTTACTCAAATTTTGCAACCCTATACAGTAATAAGAGTTTTTCAAGTTCCTTTGAGTAGTTCAAGGTCACAATCACAGAGTTCTAATATGTAATTCTATGTTTACCAATTGTCTGAACAGATCTCACTATACTCATCACATATTCTGCGGTTACTGTTTATTATCTATCCTGTTGCCTAATCACTTTATCCTTACCTATACAGTGCATTCTGAAAGTATTCAGACCGCTTGACTTTTTCCACTTTGTTACGTTACAGCCTTATTCTGAAATGGATAAAATATATACCCCTTAATGACAAAGTGAAAAAAGGGTTTTAGAAATGTTTGCAAATGTATAAAAAAAAAAAACCAGACATACCTTATTTACATAAGTATTCAGACCCTTTGCTATGAGACTCAATATTGAGCTCAGGTGCATGCTGTTTCTATTGATCATCCTTGAGATGTTTCTACAAATTGGAGTCCACCTGTAGTAAATTCAATTGATTGGACATGATTTGGAAAGGCACACACCTATCTATATAAGGTCCCACAGTTGACAATGCATGTCAGAGCAAAAAAAAGCCATGAGGTTGAATGAATTGTCCGTAGAGCTCCGAGACAGGATTATTTTGAGGCACAGATCTGGGGAAGAAGTTTGGAACCACCAAGACTGTTCCTAGAGCTGAGCTGGCCGCCCGTCCAAACTGAGCAATTGGGGGAGAAGGGCCTTGGTCAGGGAGGTGACCAAGAACCCGATGGTTACTCTGGCAGAGCTCCAGAGTTCCTCTGTGGAGATGGGAGAACCTTCCAGAAGGACAACCATCTCTGCAGAACTCCACCAATCAGGACTTTATGGTAGAGTGGCCAGACGGAAGCCGCTCCTCAGGACAACAACCCTAAGCACACAGCCAAGACAACGCAGGAGTGGCTTCGGGACAAGTCTCTGAATGTCCTTGAGTGGCCCAGCCAGAGCCCGGACTTGAACCTGATGAAACATCTCCGGAGAAACCTGAAAATAGCTGTGTAGCGACGTTCACCATCCAACCTGACTGAGCTTGAGAGGATCTGCATAGAAGAATGGGAGAAACTCCCCAAATGCAGGTGTGCCAAGCTTGTAGCGTCATACCCAAGAAGACTCAAGGCTGTAATCGCTACCAAAGGTGCTTCAACAAAGTACTGAGTAAAGGGTCTGAATACTTAAGTAAATTGTAAATTTGCAAACATTTCTAAAAACCTGTTTTAGCTTTGTCATTATGAGGTATTGTGTGTAGATTGATGAGGGGAAAATACAATTTAATCCATTTTAGAATAAGGCTGTAACGTAACAAAACGTGACTGACCGGCTAAAAATCATTCTTACATTTTTTACATTTGGTTAAAAGTAGAGACTCAGAGCTAAAAAATGGTATATCATACACTACAGTTGAGGAACAATGGGAAACTAATTTTGCTTTGAAAGTTGATAAACTTGTAAACTCACTTTTGAGAAAATGGCCTTTGAATCTTTTGGAGAGCCCTTCTTTGTCTACACCCATTCAGCATTGTTCACACCCTCTTAAGCTTTACCCCCACCCATCTCTTTAAGCGTTCTGTACCCAAGCTAACTTGCTAGCTACTTCCAGACACCATTGACAGAACCGCTCACTGATCATTACTCGCCCTATCAGAGCTGGTTAGGCTGTTATGTTATCCAAAGCGTTGGTGACTGCAACTGTGCTGTCAGATTGTCCGTTCGTAAATTCAAAACATGTCGCTCTTGGAGCGTTCAGAGCGCACACCGGTCGCTCTGGCTGATGACTAGGGTTGATCCGAATGTTCTGACCTCACAACGGCAGTCAAGCACCCAAGCTAACTGGCTAACATTGGCCAGCTTGCTAGCTGCTTCCAGACACATAATGAGAGAACACCCCACTTTTACCATTTTACTCGCCCTAGCAGAGCTGGTTTGGCTGTTTTCATGTTATCCAGAGCGTTGGTGACTGTAACTGTGCTGCTGGCATCAATTTAATTTTTTGCCGACATTTACTGACACGGCCATATTCAACTGGTGTTGAGCGTTCGTAAATTCATCAGTTATTCTGCGCTCTGGCACACACTCAGACGAGAGTGCTTTGAAATCGGAGTAGATGGCCAGACTGAATTCACGAACGCACCCAAAATGGTTACTTGCATAGTGGAGTCTTTTGTTAAGACATGTAGCTAGCTAGCTAGGTAAACAATGAACCATAATCACAACTCATGACGTTACTACCCTGCATGAATCTGCAGGTAGCTAACCAACCAGGTTCAATGTTAGCTAGCTAACATTAGGCTATAGTTAGCTAAGCAAATGGCTCTGAGATACGAATAAGGTCATACACGTAACGTTAGCTAGCGAGCCAGCCAGCTAACGTTAGCTAGCTAGGTAAACAATGAACCATAATCACAACTCATGACGTTACTACACTGCATAAATCTGCAGGTAGCTAACCAACCAGGTTCAATGTTAGCTAGCTACCATTAGGCTATAGCTAGCCAAGCAAATGGCTCTTTCTGTCAAAATTATAAAGGTGTAATATCTGAAAATGTAGCTAGCTAGACTATCTTACCCATATACATTATTCATGGATGGACACGTCTCCTGTCGGATGCCATGGTTGCCCTTAGTTTTAAGATGTAATCCGGAGACAGGTGTTTGCTCCATCTCCTTAGCTATCATACTCGAATTCCACTGATTTCAAAACTCGGTCCTCCAAAAAGTGGAGAGCAACACTTATGCAGTTTTAATACACAATACATTTAAAAAGAAGCTGCATTAGACAGGATTACCTAGACAAACTGACCAGCTCAAATAGACAGAAGCGTGCTACAGTATATGGCAGACCAATCCAAACTCATCTCTCGGCATGTCCAGCCCACTCATTATCTCAGCCAATCATGGCTATAGGGAAGGAGAAAAAAAAAATTACGTTCAAACTGCTCTCCTGTGAAGTAGTGACCTGCGACATATGCCTAGTTTCCTGAAACGGGTCACAAATGTGGAAAAGGTGAAGGGTTCTGAATACTTTCCGAATGCACTGTACCTCAATATTGTATCCTGCCTACAAAGAAGTAGCTCATAACAATAATAATCATTGTATGGTAATTATTTTCCAAATAAAAAATGACTGACATAATTATTCACATATAACACACCTGTTTAGTTCAAATGGGAACTGATGGTAATAGCACCATCCAACTCAGCTATCTGGACCGTTGAATGAGGACTTCAGT